TATAGCATCTAGCAACAACTACATAAATAGTCAAACGTTCGATTTCCAGATTTTTAAGGCTAACAAGAAACTAGAGGATTAGCGCTTTCGAAAAAGTGTCGAAAATTCTTCCAACGATAACTTCCTCAAAAACTAGCCCCGCTGTCTGTTTTTTCAGGGATCGGGTCCGATTTTCGAGAGGGGGCTTTCGTCGTTCAAATATACATAACTTCCTTCATTAGCCTTAAAAATTGCAAAAGTTTATACGTTTTGCAAATTTTTAAGGCTAATTAGAAACTCTAAAGACTTACGCTTTGGATAAAAATTATAAAAATTTAACACTGAGTGATCACTCTTCAAAAAATCGCTTCCGTTTTGCGCTTTCTCTCTCTATGTGTTTTTTTCGCGGGCTAGTCTCACTGAAGCACGACTTCACTTGACCATCATTTCCTTCAAATCGCTGCTCTTGAAGAACGTAAAAGCCAAATTGAAATCACAGCATCCAGTGCCTTTATAGCTAAAGATGTATCGTCACTCTCGATGCACCGTCACTCGTTTGTGGTGGCGGTGTCCGCAGTATATTTTGAATGCTTGTCCCTTGACTGCTTTGATCTGAATACTAAATGATCCTGAGCGTGACCATGTTACCCTGCCAAACAGACGCCCCCCGCCCTGTCTTTGCCGCAGCACGCGGTTACACCACCCTGTCCAGGGTGTCCATCGATACTTTTGGTACGCACTGTATTTGAAATTGCTGTTGATGCCGTTTTGCAATCAGTTTCCAATGAAATTGCTTTCACTCAATCAATAGGAATGTGGAGATGGCATCATGACCTCTGAGTTATCCCACTCAATTAGAGCTGCTTCGCACCTCGGAGCGAGGCATCCCTTAATTAGGTGCGAAGAAACAGGATCGTACCACTTTCAACCCCGAGGCTGCGCATGGTCGACGGACTACTTGCGCACTCGGCCCTTTAAGCTGCCTCACTCGACGCTTTCGTCTGCGCTCTCTCACCTTATCAGCGGCTCATCACCACTGCGATCTCACACATTCAAACTTTTGCCACAATGCAACTGGCTCACCCACCTCGGATTCCCTCCCCCTTACAAGGCTTAGTCCTAAGGCTCTCACCTCCCTCCTTGGGATTTGGAGCCGAGCCAGGCGCCATTCTCTGATCGTCTGTGCTCTCCGCCATTCGTGGCAGGACCATGGACGAAAGTGCAAGTAGTCCGTAAACCGCGGAGGGGTGCGTGGCTAGCAGCGGCACAAATCGATCATCTCGATTAGAGCGTGATTTGGCAGTGCTACCATCAAACGCGTTGCGGTGAACTCGTTCACAACTTCACTTTGGCTGCTACCTGTTAATGATTGGAAACTAACGGCCAAGAAAAGGGTCCCATTTTGCGATTTCTCGACGGATTTTTCCGCTTATTTCGCCACTGGCGTGCGAGCACCACCACGTTACAATGGGCCCTTCTTGAGTTTCCGTAATCGCTTCCTTTAAGCAGAAGAATATAAATCATAAACTAAGCTCGGACTGTATACGCAGGTCGAACTCTTCCCTGCGTATCAACATGTCACAGTTTTGGCGACTCGAGACTGCTAGCGAATCGAGCGTCTTCACCAGCGAATAAAATTCCGAACAATGCAGCATGACGCCATGATCTCGCGCTTCATTTCGGCGTTTTCCCTGGCGGGCGCCGTAATCGTGCAAAGATGGGTTTAGCTCTACGCGTTACTTGGTGACTCTTAGCGAGATCAACGAAATAGTGAAAGATAATGCTTATGTGCCACATGTATTCGCTGCATAGAATGTACCTAGGAAGGTTTAGCAGGTCCCAATATTAACTTCGGTTTAACGCGTTAGCTGAAAAATCTCTCACAATTATAACGGTTAAGTAGAAATCGTAAGCCCCGCTGCCCCGAAATCGTAAAAAAAAATTGGATAATTCTGGTCATTCCCTCTCCTGAATGCTTCGTAACCGCCCTATCGGCGCGATCCCATATCCTAAGTAGAACAAGAGCAACCCTTGTAGGACAAGCGCCGAGCAGCAACATCGAAAGCTCCGATGTCGGTCAGACTCGGCGATTGCATCGCGATGGACCAGTGCGACGCCGATCGTCCCTCTGCGATGTCCATCGCGCGATGCAGTCGCTCTGCCAAAAGTGCAAGCGGCGGGCAATGGCCCGCCGCGATCGATACCGATGTCGACTGCATCGATGTGGGCGGGGCCAATCGCCCGTCGCTTGTGCACATTGCAAGAGCGACTGCATCGCGATGCGCCAATGCGCTCATACCACGCGATGCGCCCCCTCTAGCAAGTTCGGGTGCTAACTTAGTTGGGGGGCCACGCGGCGGCGCGGCAGTCTGCTCGCCTGGCATGTTCGGAAATCCGTGGGCCAGGGGGAGTGTAGGCAGTCTAGGGGGGTGGGGGTGGGGCAGTCACTTGACATGCGTGAAAAGCTGGAATGTTCGAGTTTACACTGTCTCGCTCGAGAGAGCCCAGGTGAGCAGACTGCCGCGCCGCCGCGTGGCCCCCCCAACTAAGGCCGACGTCATACTTTGCGAATCGAGCGAATCGCTAGCGAATCGCTCGAGTCGAGCGAATCGCTAGCGAATCGCTCGAATCGCTAGCGAATCGAGCGAATCGCTAGCGAATCGCTCGAGTCGAGCGAATCGCTAGCGAATCGAACGATGCACCAGCGATTCGAACTAGGTGCCAGCGAATCGAACTAGGTACCAGCGAATCTTGCATAAAGCTTGAAACTAGGGTGTTAGGCACAGCAAAATTTCGGCAATGCTATGCAGTTTTGAGGGGGTTATTGGATCAGCAGATTCGATATTGCTGCGGCAATGCTATCTCACGAAGAGCAGCAGTATCGCCTTAAAACTTATCCAATACGAGTCATAGCGGTTATCATTACGAATATAACTTCATTTTTGGAGTCGTTACCATCACAATTCGATGGAAAAAGCTGTTTCGCAAATCCGCAGCGGCGTCACGTCACGTGGTGGCTTTTTACTACTTGCTCCTTCTCCCGCTAGGGTCGTAATAATGTAGTATTGTAAAGGACTACACATGAACTGGTCTAATGGTCTGTCTAAATTTTGATAAAAAGCGCTTTTTCAACCATGACTAATAATAAGATCGTGTATAGGGGTTATAGGCCGCCTTCGGGGTTCTACAGAAGTTGGTCGGGTCTGTAGATAGTTGCATGTGTGCTCAAGAACTGGATGATGAAGGAAAATGAATAGTACTTTGGGCTCGTTCTTGGCTGCCTGCCCAATCTGTTAGGGAAGACTTCGTGTAGGGTATCAACAAGAGCTGAAATAGATGAATCATTAGAGCTTAGCCTTAGTAATGCAAACTATTTAGATGTTAGCGAGTGATTTGTAAAAATTCGTATTGTTTGAGGTTGTCCGCTTTACAGCAGTGTTCTTAGCTTGTACTTTTGTATTAGTATTAGTAATATAATCACAACTACAAAGTATTAGTATTGATGAAATAACATGATGCGTGAGGCCTTGTTGAGAACATAGAAAGACCCCAAGAAAAAAAAAGGTCGGTAAGACGCTGTAAAGGACTAGGATATGTGCCAACACGTCAGCCTTTTCGTCTGATCCACCCAATCGCTAGCCCAGCAGGTGTCTTGGTTTGCATTGGTGCATATGCGATTCTTGATATGCATTTCTTGCTGGAAGGAACCAGCAATAAATGCCGGCAAAGCAAACTATTTCGGACA